TCCTCGAGGCAATACAGTGACACCTTGAGGAAGAGACCCTGCGTTGCCCCAAAATGTTGGCTGATTGACCTATGTGATGTAATTTGCAATAAACCAAACTATATTTGAATGTTGAAGCACTGAGTGCTGGTGACTTATCTTGGAGAGTGGCCCAGTTGTGTGTCCTCCTCACCATTGCTCTGATACTAGGAGTTACTCGGCCTTGTGTCACTCACTTGTGACATACTACAGGAGTCTTTAGAATGCATGTTAAATAAAATCACAGGGCGCCGCGGCAACGTTGTGTTATTAATTCTTACTTTACTGAGTGGCATTTTATGAGAAATATTTCCGCTGTTTGCTTTTCTACCTCATCCATGTGTAATCTCACGTATCTACTTTTATTTGAAACATTATTTAGAGCTTATCACAAAGGCATTTCCTCCATGACTAGCCTGCATTCCATTCTCTGCAAGTGCATCGCAGATCAAAATGGTTTAAAGGAACAGTAAACCCCAAATAAGTGACAGCCAGGGCCCTCCTAAGTTCCTAACCACCCTGTAATGGATTGTATAGTAACTCTTCTATCTCTTATATTGTAAAGCGCTACTCAAACTGTCTGTGCTATAAATATCCTGTGTGATAATAAGACTTGTACATGGACCTGCATTGACAATTCTGGAAAAAATGTCATTCTCACCGGCCTTTATCTTAGACATGGGTATGCAACCTCTGCACTCCAGCTGTTGTGGAACTTCAAGTACCAGGAGGCATTGCAGGACTCAGGTGTGGCCAAGGCATGATGGGTTTTGTAGTTTGACCACAGCTGTAGTGCTGAGGTTGGCTACCCCTGATCTAAGAGTTTATTAGTGTATGTGGGTAATTTAGTTCTAGCAATTTAACTATGTTTGTGTCATACTGGTTTGGGATGCACTGTTACCGATACTAGTATCGGTGCTGATACCGAGTATTTGGGTGAGTACTCGTACGAGTCAATACATGCTGCCCAGCTTCCTGATTGGCCGGGAAGCCGGCTCCATCCTCCCTCGTCAGGGACAAGGGAGAGCTTGGAGAGCTAAATGTCTTAATTTCCTTAATATTTCTTAATAAATTACTTAGAGTTCTTCAAGTGTTTTGCTGCTGACCATCATTGGAAATGCAGTGGCTTAACAAGTATTGAGTGTCTAGACAGAGAGCGAAGTGAAGGGAGAAGAGTGATGTGACGGAACACATACATAAGGAACACCTGTTGATTGGAATAAGACATTGTTGTGTACATGTGAGCAGAGTTTATAACCAGCTTCCTGAAGAACCTTTCTAAATAACTCTCCATGTATAGGGCTGCATCGTCGTGTTTGAATAACCTGTCTCCATGACTTTAAACCAGTGAAGACAAGGGTGTTTGTTTAGTTCATTCACGCTATAGGAATATGAGGTTGTACTTGAAAATCCAGTATGACCTGTTGGAGACGTGGGTATAGATATGTAGATGAGTTTAATCACTGATGACTAAACCCAGATGTTGTCTAATTGAATTCTTACCTGACATATATTGCTTAGTAATTGGACATTTGTTCTGTGACAAGCTATGTACTGGTCACATTATTGTGAATACCGAGAACCCACAACTCACAAAGATTGAGCCTACTAAAGTTGTAACCCAATACATTGTGAACATACTGCAGTTAAGGCCTAAAGTGGATATGTGGCACAAGAATATTACTAATATTGATGGTGTACCAAACAAGGAAGTGGAAAAAGGCTTTGATTGAGAGTATGGCATTTAGAAAACATTCTAGAAATCTTCTAAAACCAAGAAAACATATTTACTGGAAATATGTGACAAAGTTCACCGGCTTTGTCATCTCTTGGCATTCAAGTTGATATTTAGATTTTTACTTGAAGGTGGTGATCAATCTTAAACTGGTTACATATTTTACATTTTTTCTGCAAGGCATTTTAATCCCGCTTCTGGTCACGAACTTAACCTGTGTTTCTTGACTCCCATGAAGGTTTTTTTAGCCCAATCCTTGAATAACTGGTAAACTGCCAAAACCCTTCTTTCAGACAAAAGGACTACTTAAATTTCTGATATTGCAGTCCACATCATTTGTGCAGAAATGTGCCAACAGCTGATACCAACAGTGAACTGAAATGTTGGGAGTAAATCATTTGATGAGTCATGGAGCCTCCATGAAGTAAAATGTCATCCTCTGGTTTTTAGTTAGAACATTAACAATCATTGCTTTGAGCAAAATCTCTTTTTCTTTGCGAGTTTTTGAAATGACCCCCATGCTATAGAATACAGATCAGGTTTGATTGAGCTTGCTTAGACTATTCATGAATTTTCATTAGCTTTGGTATCTTGCAATGTAGAAATGCTTCTCTGATGCTGGTGTTGTGTGTTGACCCTTTCCAGATTCGAATCTATATTTGGCAGATCTATTGTCAATAAAATTTACGATTTTCACCTTTTCTGAATATGACAGCACTGTACTCTACAGCAGTTCGAAATATCCTTCTAAAGGTGCCCATACACCTGCCGATTATCGTACGATAATTGCGGGTGATCCCGTGATCGCACGATAATTGGCAGGTGTATGGAAGGCGTGCGACCGTTCTACTGTACGGTCTCACATCTTATGTCTTCTGAGCACGCTTGAAAACCTGCTGAAAATCGTAAGATTTTTGGCGGGTTAGTGTCGTGCACGGAAGACTAATGCCGAACGGGCCGGTGTGCGCAAGCCTGCTCAGCATTGGAATCATCGGAAGCCCTCCGCTCAGCGGGGAGGGCTTGCGATGATCGCAAGTACGATCTGCCTGTCCAGGATGGGAAGATCGTACGAGATTTTAATTACCTTACAACCATAGCACAACGAAAGTCGTGTGATGGTTGTAAGGCGTATGGGCAGCTTAAGACTTTTCTCTTAATCTGATTCTTTTCAGACCGAAAGAGCGCTTCTTTCACTTTCGCATCTGATTCTACAAAATTAATTGTATGCATATGATCATATAATAAGGCGCAGGAATCAAGGATTTAAAAAACAGCATCAACATGCTAAAACAAAATCCTACATTAAAACAGAGATGTACAAATCCCTGGAGCTCCGTGTGCTCCTTACAAATTACAGCGGCCTCCTAATTTTTTAATTTTTCTCTAGTGTAGTCTTGAAGCTCAAAAGTATCGGTACATGTACTCGTACTTGTACCGAGTACTGTACTTGGTATCTGTGCAACCCTAATATATATATATAATTATTTTTTACTTTAACACTTTAACAGACATTGAATATAGACAGGTAGATTTTACACCTAGTTTTGGATCATGGTTTTTCACACGACACAAGAGTTTTGAAGGCAGTCCTGAAACTTTTGCTGGATCAAAATGCTACACAAACAGCACAAGATGGGGCTGTATCTTTTGCATCACTTGTGAACATTGCCAACCAGTCACATTGAAGGCAATTGTCACTAATGAAGGCTAACAGCTAGCGAGCTTCATTTGGTTTTAAATACTGGTGCAATAAATTGATGGGAACCTTTCGTATGTATATGTCATTAATGCAGAGGGAACTTGAAGCACAGGAGATGTCTACAACTGGATGAGCATGTTTATACAATGAATCGCTGTCTTTTTCAAAGCAGAGCCTTTGTTCACTGCTAACAATATACGCAATGGATTTTCTCTTTTATTGTTCATGGCATATACATGTTGTTTTGAAAATAATAAACACACCTGCTTATTAATCTGTTATTTTGATAATATAAAGCCTGAATCACTTGTGGGCATTCGGTTTAAATAGTGGTTTGTTTTTATAGGCAGCTCCATCTGAGTTGTTCTATGCAGACAATAGAAGACAATGATCTGTGTGTTATGAGGTCTTCCCTGAAACTCATCACATTACCGGCTGCATCATTATCTAATGCCTATATTTGTAGAGCAAAAGTGGAATCCACAGCTTATATTACTTCAACTGAATTCATTTTGCTGCAGTACACTATGCTATGAAATTAAAACTACAACATGTCAACAAACTAAAAGCACCAGGTAGAGCAATACATTGAGAAATATACTCGGAAACACACTATTCTATTTGCTTTCCTTTCTTTTTTTATTGTGGGCTCATCACTTTTACAGGCAGATGATGTCACGTGTTAGTGATACTCATAAGGAGGCTTCTTTTGCATCTGAACAACCAGACCAACTATAGCCTCATAAATACAAAGAGCATCCTAATAAAATTGTAATATTGGCAACTGTCAATAATCATATATA